TGCGATCTCAGCTCACCGCAACGTCCGCCTCCTGGGTTCAGGCAATTCTCCTGCTTCAGCCTCCTGAGTAGCTGGGATTACAGGCACACACCACCATGCCCAGCTAATTTTTTTTTGTATTTTCAGTAGAGACGGGGTTTCACCATGTTGACCAGGATGATCTCAATCTCTTGACCTCATGATCCACCCGCCTCAGCCTCCCAAAGTGCTGAGATTACAGGCTTGAGCCACCGTGCCCGGCCTGATTAATTTTCAAAATAAAAACAAAAAGTCTTTATATTCACTATTTGCTGCTGGGATTTTGCTTTTTATTTTTTACTTTTTTACTTTCCAAGACAGAGTCTTGCTCTGTTGCCCAGGATTGAGTGCAGTGGCACCATCTCAGCTCACTGCAACATCCACTTCCAGGTTCAAGTGATTCTTCTGCCTGAGCCTCCCAAGTAGCTGAGATTACAGGCTTGCATCATCACACTTGGCTAATTTTTGTATTTTTAGCAGGAACAGGGTTTCACATGCTGGTCTCAAACTCCTGACCTTCAGTGATCTGCCCATCTCAGCCTCCCAACGCATGGATTACAGGCATGAACCACTGCACCCAGCCTGGATTTTGCTTTAACACTATTCAGTTCCAGATGTTTGGAAAGACATAGAGAATTTGAACTACTTCTGTAATTTTAGATAGTCTCATAAATATTGTGAAACTCAGCATTCTAAACATGGTTTCTGAGCTAAATGTTGTTTAGTTTTCACCATGCTTTAAAGACTGGTTGTGGCCAGGTATGGTGGCTCATGCCTATAATCCCAGCACTTTGGGAGGCTGAGGTGGGCGAATCACTTGAGGCCAGGAGTTTGAGACTAGCCTGGCCAACATGGAAAAACCCCATCTCTACTAAAAATACAAAAATTAGCCAGGTGTGGTAGCACAAGCCTGTAATCCCAGTTACTCGGGAGGCTGAGGCCGGAGAATTGCTTGAACCTAGGAGGTGGAGGCTGTAGTGAGCCAAGATCATGCCACTGCACTGCAACCTGGGTGACAGAGACATGGCAGACAACTAGAAGGCACTGACGAGGCAGCCACACCATCTCTTCTTGCCAGCATTTATCTTTGCTGTTTGAAGCCTTTTGACCCATCAGGACCCAGAGGCTGTCTGAGCTCATTACTAGGCTGCCTGCTGTCTTTGGGTTGGAAGATCCTGGTTGGCCTGAAGGGAAGATCAGAAGAACACCTGTTGAAGATGGGTTTCTCCTGCTCCTCCTCGCCCGACACTGCCCAGGATCCTGGTCTTGGCCTCCCGCCCTGCCAGCGACTTGACTGAAAGGGCGAGCCTGCTGACAGAGTTGGGGCTGCTGACCACAACGTTGCTGGTGGGTCTCTTGAGGATGAGAACCTGTGGAGGGGGTTCCGCAGGAAAACTACAGTCCTGAATCCTAATGGGCACTTTGGGAAGAGATTTGGCTTTCCTGCTGTCTTTCTGTGTGATCTTCAGTTTTTTTTCAGAGGTCTATTTCCCTGCTGTCTGCTGCCTCCTCCCAGCTCTCAGCGACCTCCTCATATTCTGTCTCACTTGCTGCTTTCCAGATCGCTTGCTTTCTTATTCTGCATTTTCTTTGACTTTTGCTGTATTCAATATTATTACTTGATTCTGGTTTTTTAGACATCACTATATGGCCCTTGGCTTTCTGGTCATTCCTCTAATTCTTTTGCTGTTTCAAGCTCTGTTCCAAGCCTAAGCTTTTTACCAATGAATTCTGTTCTGTGATACATCATCTAAAACTAACTCAACTTTTCATTCCCCCCAGACTTTTTTGATCAGCAGTATTTTCAACTTCTTGTGGGAAGTAGAAAACTTCCTTTTTAAAGTTTCCTTTCTTGTTAAAGAATAAGTGTGCTAATAACTTTAAGCCCTATCCTATGTAGCTGTTAGACATGCCGTGCTTACAGGCACGTAGTACATTCTATGTCCTTGTACTTTAACCAAGATATCTGTGCTGGACGTGCTCACAGGCATGACCCAGCTCTCCACTGCTTTTACCTGTTTAAAAAAGTTTTAAGTCGTTAGTTAGCCAATTGGGTTTTAGTTTAAAGGTCTGGCTCCAGCCAACGGGGGTCAGACATAGCAGTAGGGATGACCCCAAATGCCTAGGGGATAAATTTGTGTTTTCCTTCGTTCATTGCACTCTTGTGGCACAGTGGCTAGCAAGGGCACCCTTCCTGCAGTCCAGGAAGTACAACATTCTTTGAGATCCTTTGCTAATTTTTCTTTGTGGGACCAAGCATCTATTTCCAACAACACTGAATCATCATGCAGTGGCAGTGCTGGCACACACAGTTTTGAATACCAGGTTCTTGAGTGAACCCTTTTTGCTTCTCTCTCTCCCCCCCCACCCCTGCTTCTTCTCCCTTCTGCCTTCATTTCTGCCCCTTCTTTTCTGGTTACATTAGAAAAGATCTAATCTTATCAGTTCTGCCTTTTGTTTCTGCTCTAATAATTCCGTCAAGATAATTTTTTCAAAGCACAAGGCCAATGAGAAGGGGGAAATTTGGTCCAGAAGGCAGCTGGCCTGACTATTCTGAGATTGAATCAGTTCTTCGTGGTCCTGTTAAAATACATTTTGAAGCAAATCACCTGTTCTTATACTCCTAATGTCTACTCTGTTCAAAGCCCAAATTTCCTTGCTTGGCATTTAAGGAGATTCCAAGTTCTTAAAACTTGTTCTTGACTTTAATGCAAGTCAAACTTATTTACTGTATCTCAAACAGTCATTTTATATTTTCTTTTCTGCATTTTGTGATCATTTTCTTGTGCCTGGAATACTCTCTGGTTTTATTTAAGTCTCACCATCTTTCAAGACACAAAATACGTGTGATCTCTGAGGCCTTTGTGAACTGCTCCCAGCATTCACTAAGCAATTCATTCTGTCTCTGAAATTTTATAGCACAAACCCATTCACTTGATATTTAACAAATACCAACTTCTAGCAATCTTTTCATGCTTACATTTTCTCACTGCTTGAGATTTTTCTTGACACTCAGTGTCAAGCACTGAGTCTCACAATCAGAAACCCCACTGCATTTGATCTGGTAAAGACAACATCTTTTTAAAAGACATATTAAATCCTTTAAGTTGGCCGGGCATGGTGGCTCACGCCTGTAATCCCAGCACTTTGGGAGGCTGAGGCAGGTGGATCACGAGGTCAAGAGATCGAGACCATCCTGGTCAACATGATGAAACCCCGTCTCTACTGAAAATACAAAAAATTAGCTGGGCATGGTGGCGCGTGCCTGTAATCCCAGACACTTGGGAGGCTGAGGCAGGAGAATTGCCTGAACCCAGGAGGCGGAGGTTGCCGTGAGCCGAGATCGTGCCATTGCACTCCAGCCTGGGTAACAAGAGTGAAACTCCGCCTCAAAAAAAAAAAAAAAAAAATCCTTTAAGCTAATCATATTGGCAATGAACTTAAATCAACTGAGTGACCACTGTGTTTAAGGAAGATTCCTTTTTAGTACGCTGGGGAATGGGAAAAGGGAAGGATGTAACTTTATAAAAAAAAGGTCCTTGTTCACAAGGAGCTAATAGCTTACTGGGCAGAGAAGAAAGGTGTTCCTTCTTTGCAATGGCTGTGTTTTTGGGTTTAGCTGACTCAATTCTTTATGTCCTCAATTTATGAGACAAAATCAAACATTTTTGCCACACCTCTGTGGGCAAGTAGGTGAGTCAGAATGAGTGTATAATATATAAATATATATTTTAATGGCCGGGCGCAGAGGCTCACACCTGTAATCTTAGCACTTTGGGAGGCCGAGGTAGGTGGATCACCTGAGGTCAGGAGTTCAAGACCAGCCTGGCCATCATGGTGAAACCCCATCTTAAAAAAGAAATTTTTTTTAAATATATATTTTAATGATAATAAAGGTGTAGATTTAACAAACCCAAACTTTTTTTTTTTTTTTTGAGAGTCTCGCTCTGTCGCCCAGGCTGGAGTGCAGAGGCACGATCTCGGCTCACTGCAGCCTCCACCTCCAGGGTTCACGCGATTCTCCTGCCTCAGCCTCTTGAGTAGCTGTGGCTACAGGCTTGCGCCACCACGCCCGGCTAATTTTTGTATTTTTAGTAGAGACGGGGTTTCACTATGTTGGCCAGGCTGATATCGAACTCCTTACCTCAGGTGATTCCCCCGCCTTGGTTTCCCAAAGTGATGGAATTACAGGCATGAGTCACCAAGCCCGGCCAAACCCAAACATTCTAAAAGCGCAGAGTAACCGCTCCCCTCCCCACCAAGGGTAACCAGCATCTTTGTTCTCCATCCAGAACAGCTGTATGCACCGGTGTATAAGCCTGCCTTAAGTGTTATTTTTAATCTTTTTTTAAAAACGGTCCTTAAAATAACTTGTGTACAACTCCAGCGGCTGGCGGAGTGGGCTTAATTTATTTAACAGTTGTTGATTTTGGTTTCTCTTTGGTAACAGCTACACAGAGATCCGCATTTGTCGCAGTTTCCACCACGGGCGGGATGTGTAAACACAAGAAATACAAAAATAGCGCAACGGCTAAAGGAGTGTCCCAGCACGGCGCGCCAAACCAGGCGGGAACCGCGTAGGGCCGAGTCCTACCCGCCTGGATCGCGGCCAAGACCCCCGCCCCGCCTCAAAGCCCACCGCGCCCGGCGGGTGTGGGGGGGAACGATTTTCCCGGCTCCACCTTCCCGGAGGCGGTGCGGCGGAGCCCAGGACCCAATGGGAAGAGGCGGGGCCAGGCGCGTGCACGCGCACAAATGCCCGGATGCTCCGCGACGCGCGGCGCGCTTCCCTTGGGCGGTAGGGGGCGCGCATCGAGTCACCCCGGTGAGCTTGGCTGCTTGTAGGGCTTGTGCGGCCTTGTGTGTTGGCAAGATGGAGCAAGAAGCCGAGCCCGAGGGGCGGCCCCGACCCCTCTGACCGAGATCCTGTTGCTTTCGGCGCCAGGACACCCGTCCCTCCTAGGATTAAGTGCGTTGGAGCGCCCAGTGCCTGGGCCCCGAGAGTAGAATGGTTCCCGAGGCCCAGGGCGTCGTGCTTCCGCGCGCCCTGTGAAGGAAACTGGGGACCCTCGAGGGACCCCGACTTTAACCGCGAAAACCCCGGATGGTGTGAAGCAGGTACCGGCCCGCCAGCGAGCGGTCACTTCTGGGTCTGGGCTGTGACGGTTTTCCCTCCATTGCTGGTTCCCAGCCTCTGCCCTATCGCAGCCTTTGTGCCATTCGTGGCAGGGGGCTCGGGGCTCGGGGCACGTGGCTTTGCGCAGGTTTTGTTGGACCGAGGCAAGGCTGTCGCCGCCGGGAAGGAGGGCGGGGTTTCGGCCGGCTTTCGCGGCAGGGGGCGGGTTCGGGGGGGGGGTCTCCACGAGAGTCCGGGGTAAAGGTCGCGTGGGCGGGGGACTGTGTGGCCACCTCTGAGTGGGGGTCTGGATGATCGCAGGTGCCTCTCCTGTCGCCAATGTGAACGCGGCGCGGAGTCTGGGCGGGCTTGGGCCGGTTCCGTGGGCAGGTTGACTCAGCTTTTCCTTTTGAGCTGGTCAAGTTCAGACACGTTCCGAAACTGCAGTAAAAGGAGCTAAGCCCTGACTTGTCTCCAGCTGGGACTATTTAAACCATGGATTTTCCCAGCTGTGTTCAGTGGCTGTTGGAGGGTGGACCTGTGGGCGCGGACGCCTACTACTTTTTCTCTACCGATCCAGGTAAGCACTGACTTCCTTGTAGCTTTAGTTTTAACAAAGGCGTTTATGCCCTTTATATATGATGTATTTTTCACAGATGTTTCATGATTTCCAGTTTTCATCGTGTCTTTTTTTTCTCCTTGTAGGCAAATGTGCAATACCAACATGTCTGTACCTACTGATGGTGCTGTAACCACCTCACAGATTCCAGCTTCGGAACAAGAGACCCTGGTTGGTATTTTTGTCTGGTGTAACTTTAAGAATAATTTATGAGGTGATCAACTAAATTTCATATACCTCAATTGTAGCATGGCTCTGTAAATGAAATTGTATGTGCATAGCTTAAAGTGTGCTACCTCGGACATAACTGCGTGGAGTTAAAAAGTGTTAAAAATTGGTCAGTATTTTATTAGTCCTTTGCCACATGGGCTTTAAAAATTAGTTCCATTACATTCTTAAGTGTGGTTGCTGAAGTTATATTTGTTATGTGATCCATTTTTTTCCTTTTTGACTTTCCAGTAAATTTTTAAAAAATGGATTCTAAAAGTCACAAAAATTATTCATGCTTGTAAAGATTTTAGTCATTAGAGAAATTTTAAAGTAAAACCTGAAAATTCCAGCCTTTTTCTTCATGTTCCCTTTTAGATTTTTTTCTATGTGCATACCCACATATATTTACATTTGAATTTAAATCTGTTATTTTCATGTTTGTTGTACTAACAAGATAAAACTATAGGTGTTTTATGACTTACATCCTTGTCAATAAATACCGTTTACATAATTCTTTTAAATGGCTGCATAGTATTCCATAGCATGAGTATACTATGTTTAAAATGCCTTTACTGATAGCTTTTTAAAAATTGCCTCCTGTTTTTGGGTATTACAGATAGTGTTGCTTTGTACATGAGTTCTGTGTGACTATTTCTATAAGAAAGATTTTGTGGAATTATAAGTTGGGCGAGGTGACTCATGTTGTAATCCCAGCACTTTGGGAGGCCATGGTGGGCTGACCTGAGGTCGGGAGTTGAAGACTAGCCTGGCCAACATGGTGAAACCCCGTCTCTACTAAAAATACAAAAATTAGGCCGGGCACGGTGGCTCACGCCTGTAATCCCAGCACTTTGGGAGGCTGAGGCAGGTGGATCATGAGGTCAAGAGATCGAGATCATCTTGGTCAACATGGTGAGACCCCGTCTCTACTAAAAATACAAAAAATTAGCTGGGCATGGTGGTGCGTGCCTGTAATCCCAGCTACTCGGGAGGCTGAGGCAGGAGAATTGCCTGAACCCAGGAGGCGGAGGTTGCGGTGAGCCGAGATTGCGCCATTGCACTCCAGCTGGGTAACAAGAGCGAAACTCCGTCTCAAAAAAAAAAAATAATACAAAAATTAGTTGGGCATGGTGGCACTCGCCTGTAATCCCAGCTGCTGGGGAGGCTGAGGCAAAATCGCTTTAACCTGGGAGGTGGATACACCATCTGTATGAAAAGCTGAAAATATTTACAGTCTGGCTCTTTACAGGAAAAGATTGACCCTGATTTAGTTGGCAGGCTCCTTGAATACAGGTCATATATCTTATTTGTAATTTTTTTTTTTTTTTTGGCAGTACCTATATTGAGTGCATAGCAGAAGCTCAATAATGTCAAGCAGATATTTGAAATGCAGACCAACTAAGAGGCAGCATGATATAGTAGGAAGAAAATGCTGAGTTGTAGTAGTCTCAACTGTCACCCAGACTGGAGTACAGTGGTGTGATCTCAGCTCACTGCAACCTCCACCTCCTGGGTTCAAGTGATTCTCCTGCCTCAGCCCCCCGAGTAGCTGGGACTACAGGCGAATGCCACCGCCATGCTTGGCTAATTTTTTTTTTGTATTTTTAGTAGAGATGGGGTTTCACCTTGTTTGCCAGGGTGGTCTTGATCTCCTGACCTCGTGATCTGCCCACCTCATCCTCCCAAAGTGCTGGGATTACAGGGGTGAGGCACCAGCCTCATTCTCTTCTTAATTACCCTTGTCAGCTTGGGTTGGTTGAGTTCTCTAGCCTTCAGGAGCCTAATCTTTAGAAAGAGATGATTTAACAGGATCTACTCTATAAAGATTTTTTCTTTTCTCTTGGATTCTCTAAGTTAGCTTGCAGTAAGCTCATTGGATCAGTACAGTAAGCTCATTCAATCTCAATAATTATTTATGGTTGTTTGTAAGGCAGTAAGCAGGTGATATAAATAGCTGAAGGAAAAAATAATCTTTGCTGTCTTGATACTTGATGATTCCATGTGATATTTGTATAATAATTAGATTCTCCCCAGCATTTTTCCAAACCCCCTTTATTGAACTTGATGGATATGTTTGTTGCAGGGCCTATAGTTCTGGAATAGTTTTGGAAGTATAATAGCAGCTCTTTTCTCTTTATAGGTTAGACCAAAGCCATTGCTTTTGAAGTTACTAAAGTCTGTTGGTGCACAAAAAGACACTTATACTATGAAAGAGGTAAGCTGAATCAAGAGATAAGTAGTATCTTTACTAGTTACATATAGCCATACTTAAAGCTTTCAAGACATGGGGAGAAATTTGCCATATAGAAGGATTTTTCATTAAGCAGCAACATTTAATTTTGTGGTCATTTGGACTATATTTTAAAGCTAAAAATTCTAATTATACATGAGTTTCATTTCTCAGCTGGAAACTCAGTGATAAAAGGAAGCCCTATAGGGGTATTTGACCATTTTATACTGTGAACCCTTTGGTAGACTGGTAAAGTCTTCTCAGACTGGTAACTCCCTCTCAGAATCATGTTTTTAAATGTATGAAATAAAACGTATAGGATTACAAAGGAAACATATTAAAATACGGTTACCAAAATAGTAAACTAGTTTGTGATATATGTGCTTTTGTTATTAACACAATAAATACTAAGATTTAGAAGCAGATGTAATAAATATAATAATTATTATTTTTTTTTGAGTCAGAGTCTCACTCTGTCACCCAAGGTGGTGTGCAGTGGCATGATTTTGGCTCACTGCGACCTCTACCTCCTAGATTCAAGCAATTCTCCTGCCTTACCTACCCAAGGAGCTGGGATCATAGGTGCCTGCCACCACACCTGGCTAATTTTTTGTACTTTTAGTAGAGACGGGGTTTCACCATGTTGGCCATGCTGGTCTTGAACTTCTAGCCTCAGGTGATCCACCTGCCTTGGCCTCCCAAAATGCTAGGATTACAGACGTGAGCCACCATACCTGGCCAGTGAATATAATTTTGATATAGTCAGAAATATAAGTGATATTTTGAAATGTTTGTCATAAGCACAGTATGATATGAAAACACCTGTGATTTTTGTTAGTGATGAAATCACAGGTATTAATACTGTTGTGATTTGTTGCCTACATTTGTAATCTAAGGGAAAGCTAAATTTTAGTTAGAAGTTTGTGAAAATAATGATAGAATTTTTTTTTCCCATCCAAATTAATGGACCCCCTGAATTCTATCCAAGGACTTCTTGGGCATCCCTGGATCCCAGGTTAAGAAGTTCTGCATTGGAGATTCATGAGTACAGTATACTGATCTTTCTGGGATAGAGATGAGCTGGTTCGTGACCATATGTTCTCTTGAATGGATACAGCATTTTAGTGCATTCTCTAGCTTTAAATTTGTGCACAGAGCATGATTTTCAGTGAGAGATTGAGCGCCCTTAGGCAAAATTTCAGTGTGATTGAAATATGCCCATGCTCCATCTCTCCCACTTAGTTTATGGGACTCAGATTACTTGAAACATTTAAGTTTCATTCTTACAATAGTATAGTGGGACAGGAAGAGCTTCCATATCCTTTTCCCCTCCAGCTACACTTTTATAAACTTCCTTAAGGAATGTTTGGTAGAAAAAATCTAGGTTCTCTTCCTTTTTCCTTTCCCACTGCCAGACAACAATCTGTCCAATCCACAGTCACATAGAAATATTCCTTAAAGGTTGATGCCTGCTTGGCCAGTTAAATCCAAAGACAGTGCTTGTAGGGAAGTGCCAGGCTAAATGGTATTTTTTAGGGCTAATTTGGGATCAGCCTTATTATCATTGTATAATCAGTTAAGGAAACAAAAACGTATGGATTTAGCAATAGATGGAAATGAGAAAATTGGTCAAGGCCCTCATAAAGACTTAGAATGCTATGCTAGACTATGTACCAGTATGTTTATGTTGTCTGATGTAGTTCTCAGTTATAGGATCTTTGTTCTGGGGCACATGGGAAAGTAGTGAAAGCCAGTATGGGTAGTAAAAAGAGCATCGGACTTAGAGTCAGAAGATCTGGGGCCAGTTTTGTCATATCTTTTCTTTTTTTTTTTTTTTTTTTTGGCGACAGTGTCTCACTCTATTGCCCAGGCTAGATTACAGTGTCATGATCACTGCTCACTGCAACCTGGACTTCCTGGGCCCAGGTGATCCTCTCACCTCAGTGTCTAAAATAGCTAGGAATACAGTCTTGTACCACCATGCCCGGCTAATTTGTGTGTGTGTGTGTGTGTGTGTATTTTTTTTTTCTTTTTTTGGTAGAGATGGGGTTTCACTATGTTGCCCAGGCTGGTCTCTAACTCTTGGGCTCAAGGGATCTGCCTACCTTGGTCTCCTAAAGTGCTACATTTACGGGCATGAGCCACTGTGCCCAGCCCAGTTTTTCACTTCTAATACAGCAATAACAATTCTATGAAATATCAGAATGAGATAATACTTGTAAAAGTACATTGTAATCTGTAAAATACCATATGTATTTAGGTAGTTGTTAATAGGTTTATATCTGGGATCTCTTAAAGATATATTAGGTATAGATGTAATAAGATATCTTAAAGATGTATTGCCAACTTGTCTTAATGCAGCACAGGGAATATAATTTAAATTTATTAATGGTTCAAAATCATTATTTTGATTATTATAATATAGAGTAAATTGATCTTTAAGGGTTTATTTCTCACAAAATTCTCTTGTACTACTTTGTAGCTGTCATTGATTGTTTTTCTGTCTTCCTTCTATGGTGACCTCAGAGGCTACTGAGGTTTTTTTTCTTTTTGAGACGGAGTTTTGCTCTTGTCCAGGCTGGAATGCAGTGGCATTATCTCAGCTCACTGCAACCTTTGCCTCCTGGTTCAAGCCTGCCTCAGCCTCCAAGTAGCTGGGATTACAGGCGCCTGCCACCACATCTGTCTAAGTTTTGTATTTTTAATAGAGATGGGGTTTTGCCATGTTGGTCAGGCTAGTGCCAGACTCCCGACCTTGTGATCCACCTGCCTTGGCCTCCCAAAGTGCTGGGATTACAGGCATGAGCCACTGCGCCCAGCCAAAAGTAGCTTCTTTTTTTTTTTTTTGAGATGCAGGAGTGCAATGGCGCAATCTCGGCTCACAGCAACCTCCGCCTCCTGGGTTCAGGCAATTCTCCTGCCTCAGTCTCCTGAGTAGCTGGGATTACAGGCACGCGCCACCGTGCCCAGCTAATTTTTTGTATTTTTAGTAGAGACGGGGTTTCACCATGTTGACCAGGATGGTCTCGATCTCTTGACCTCGTGATCCACCCGCCTCAACCTCCCAAAGTGCTGGGATTACAGGCTTGAGCCACCGCGCCCAGCCCAAGTAGCTTCTTTTAAGTAGAGAATGATGGTTGTTCTACATAGTTGTGGAAATGGTTTCTGGAAGGCTTAAATTTGAGCCTTAGATACTTTGGACATCATTTTTATTGTCACCTATCATTATGGCACTTAACCAGCAGAATTTAACTTACTCGGATGAATAGGATATTATTGACTGTATTTTAAACTAACATTTAGTTTTCTTTAATGCTCAGAAATCGTATTTCTATTTCAGGTTCTATTTTATCTTGGCCAGTATATTATGAATAAACGATTATATGATGAGAAGCAACAACATATTGTATATTGTTCAAATGATCTTCTAGGAGATTTGTTTGGTGTACCAAGCTTCTCTGTGAAAGAACACAGGTAATTCTTCAATTTAGTCCATTGTAAAAAGCCAGTTGGGCTAACATTTCAGTTCACCTCTACCCTCACTCCCTTTTGTCAGAGAAAAACTGTTAAAACATATAAAAAACATGCTGAAATATAATTTCTTAGCTCTGTGGCATATTATTTGAGAACCTGAGCTCTGGCATCTTATAAACCTGTGTTTGAAATCTAGCCCAGTCATTTACTAATTTTGTGACTAGGTAAATTAATCTCTCTAAACCTGTTTCCCCATTCATAAAATGGGGATAATTAAATATCTCATATGGAGGTTATAGCTCTTTTTATTTTGGAGACGGAGTTCTGCTCTTGTCGTCAGGCTGGAATGCAATGGCACGATCTCGGTTCACTGCAACCTCTGCCTTCCGTGTTCAAGCGATTTGGCTGCCTCAGCCTCCCGAGTAGCTGAGATTACAAGTGTGTGCCATCACGATGGCTACTTTTTGTATTTTTAGTAGTGACAGGGTTTCGCGTGTTAGCCAGGATGGTCTTGATCTCCTGACCTCATGATCTGCCTGCCCCAACCTCCCAAAGTGTTGGGATTACAGGTGTGAGCCACTGTGCCGTGCCGGGCCATTTATAGCTCTTAAGAGAGATGTTGTATTAAAAAAGCATAGTGTTTGTCACATACAAAGCATTCATATATTAGCTATAGCTATTATATATTATAAATTTTTATTCCAGTCACTTCCAGAAACAGTCTTTATACCACCAAGTTGTAAAGGCCTTAATTTAGCTTTAGTTAATTTGGAAATCATTTTCATTTTCACCTATCATTATGGCACTTAATCAGCAGAATTTAACCCAGGTAATACTTCTAGACTTAGGCCGGGCATGGTGGCTCATGCCTGTATTCCAGCACTTTGGGAGGCTGAGGCGGGTGGATCACCTGAAGTCATGAGTTTGAGACCAGCCTGACCAACATGGAAAAACCCCATCTCTACTAAAAATACAAAATTAGCCAGGCATGGTGGTGCGTGCCTGTAATCCCAGCTACTCAGGAGGCTCAGGCAGGATAATGCTTGAACCCGGGAGGCAGAAGTTGTGGTGAGACGAGATCATGCCACTGCACACTGTACTCCGACCTGGACAACAAGAGGGGAAACTCTGTCTCAAACAAAAAAAAAAGAAAAAAAAAAAAAAAATATATATATATATTTTTGTCTCAAACAAACAAACAAAAAAAAAATATTATATAAAAGAATCTAGAATTCTTTTTTTTTTTTTTTTTTTTTGAGAGGGAGTCTTCCTCTGTCACCCAGGCTGCAGTGCAGTGGCACGATCTCAGCTCACTGTAACCTCCACCTCCTGGGTTCCAGTGATTCTCCTGCCTCAGCCTCCCGAGTAGCTGGGATTACTGGTGCCCACCAACAGGCCCAGCTAATTTTGTATTTTGGTAGAGACGGAATTTCACCGTGTTGGTCAGGCTGGTTTCAAACTCCTGACCTCAAGTGATCCACCCGCCTCCGCCTCCCAAAGTGCTGTGATTATAGGCATGAGCAACTACGCCCGGCCTCTAGAATTATTCTTTTGGGAACTGAATATTTTTTCAGTCATTCTTACCTTACATTTGGAATTCTTTTTTTTCTCTTTTTTTGAGACAGAGTTTTGCTCTTGTTGCCCAGGCTGGAGTACAGTGGCATGATCTCAGCTCACTGCAGCCTCTGCCTCTGGGTTCAGTGATTCTCTTGCCACAACCTTCTGAGTAGCTGGGATTACAGGTGCCTGCCACCACACTCGGCTAATTTTTATATTTTTAGTAGAGATGGGGTTTCAAGCATGTTGGCCAGGCTGATCTCAAACTCCTGGCCTTAGGTGATGTGCCTGCCTCGGCCTCCCAAAGTGCTGGGATTAAACGTGTGAACCACCATGTCTGGCCTGTGTTTGGAATTATCACATTTGGTTTAGCACAGGCAATCCATGTTGAGCCTTAGCATTCATTCCATGAATAAATGGAATGAATACTTTCACCTGAAACAATTAACTCGCTTCTGCTAGTATTTAATACTCAATAGTATAGCTGAAAAGATGACAATTATATGGAATGTTATTTTATTTTTTATAAAAAAAAAACTTCCTCAGTTGAGCAGGGGATTTTAAAGCTTTAAAACAACTTCATTATCATAAACATAGTATATATTTATTATTGAACATTAGGAAATGACAGAAAGCTAAGAAAAGTAGAGAAAAAAAGGGACTAAAGTTTGTTACCAAAAGGTATTTTTACCAGTCATTTGTATATTATATGCAGTTGTGTGTTTTAACCTACTTATGAATATGTTTAATTTCACCAGCTTCTTAATTTAATGATGTAAGCATTTTTTCATTGATGCATCACTTCTGTTTAGTATCCATATATGTTGTCATTTATACTTGACCGTGGGATATATGATTTAATTTTATAAATTTGTAAAAAAACTATTGGTATATTGGTATTTTTTTATCCTATTGAATATAGAATCTTTTTCTTTTCTTTTTTTTTGAGACAGCGTCTTACTCTGTTGCCCAGGCTGCAACCTCTGCCTTCTGGGTTCAAGAGATTCTCTTGCCTCAGTCTCCTGAGTAGTTGGGATTACAGGCACATGCTACCATGCCCAGCTAATTTTTTTTTTTAAATCTTAGATTCAAGATAAAACCAGCTAATGTTTTGTATTTTTAGTAGCAATGGGGTTTCACCATGTTGGCCAGGCTGGTGTTGAACTCCTGACCTCAGGTGATCTGCCCGACATGGCCTCCAAAAGTGCTGGGATTACAAATGTGAGCCGCTGTGCCCAGTCTGAATATTGAATCTTCTGATAATGTTTGGAAGTATAATTTCCTTGGACTTGAATTCTAAATATTGAGAGACAAGAAATTGGAGAAATTACTGACTTGAAAAGGATATGAATGAGAAATATTTTGGGTTTAGTTTGCTGTACCCTTATTTCCAAGGGTGAAAAAAGATAGTTGGGATTCATATTTCTTAACATTGAGTGAGGAGCAATTTTTATGACATTCTCTTAGATTCTGAGTTTAAAAACAAAAGAAAAAGAAAAATCCACTGTGACATCAATGAATACTGGGGTAAATGAATTATCTTCCTGTTAGGACATAAACTTTATCAGGGCAGATACATTTTTGTTTCATTCTTTGTTTTCCCAGTGTCTGCTTCATAGTACCAGTGATTGGTACGTGGTAGGTGTTCAGTCTGTATTTGTTGAATGAATGAGTACTACTTTATCTGTTAATAAGTTTTAAGATCAAGAAAGGAAGTTGAAGCTTGATTAAAGTCAAGATTATAATCAATTCCTATATAATGGATTTTGTATAACTCAGTACTTTCGTTTGGCAGTTTGCTGCTAAGCGCAGAGCTAAAAACATTCCTGTTTGAAAATAAGTACATTAGGCTGGGTGCGGTGGCTCATGCCTGTAATCCCAGCACTTTGGGAGGCTGAGGCAGGCGGATCACTTGAGGCCAGGAGTTTGAGACCAGCCTGGACAACATGGTGAAACCCTGTCTCTACTAAAAATTAAAAAAAAAAATTAGCTGGGCGTGGTGGCAGGCGCCTGTAATCCCAGCTACTAGGGAGGCTGAGGTAGGAGAATCACTTGAACCCGAGAGGCGGAGGTTGCAGTGAGCGGAGATCGCACCATTGCATTCCAGCCTGGGAGACAAGCGAAACTCCGTCTCAAAAAAAAAAAAAGTACGTTAAACTGCTTCCTGCTTGCACACCCATTTTTGGGGGTCTTCTAGTAAAGTCCAAACAAGCACATTTCAGAAATTGGCAGTGTGAAATCTTTCAGCTGGAGAGACCTTAGTGATTATTAAAAGTAGCTGTACATAATCATTGTGCTTTTAAGTGCCTGCAAGCTTGCCAATGATAAATTGGTTTTGAATGTGTGCAGTAGTTCATACTAAATATGTATGTAAAAGTCTGGTTAAATCCAGCTTAATACATTTTTCTTTTAAAATGTACATCTCCTGATTTTTTTTTTTCTGTCTACAAGGAAAATATATACCATGATCTACAGAAACTTGGTAGTAGTCAATCAGCAGGGTAAGTTAATTTTGAGCATCGTGAATAAGTACTATAAAAACATTTTAAAGATATTTTTGTTTATGTGCATATATTTTATAATGGTGATTCTCTTTAAAAACTGCTTTAATTAAGTATAAAAATATGATACATTTATTAGAAGTACTTATAAACTAAAACAACATTATACTGAGGTTCTAATGTAAAGTTAAATATCCTGTTATATCAATTTAAGCCTTGGGATATCAGAGACCAGATTTGTATTGAAAGGTCTGTAATTTCAAAAGCTCCTGTTTAGGAGTGATCTACCTTGAAAATGTATCGAAAGGCTTTGAAAAATAATACAGTTACTTATGTGGGACCATGTATAAGGACGATGGATGGGTCTTCTTTGGTTATAGACAAAATTTTGTTTACCAGTTTGTGGAAGTAGAATTTTATGTCCATGCTTCCGGTACTTAACTGGTTATTTTTGGGTCACATCTCTCTTTAATAAGTTGATAAATTCATTGGGTTCTTGTTCCAGAAAGATGAACATATATATATACAAGGATATGTTGATAAATATTTCACAACCTACTTTCCTTGAGAAAAGCCCTGATTTATGTGCTTGCTGACTTCCCTAGTATAATACTCTCATTTTAAGGCTAAAAATGTAGAGTTGGAAAGAGAGGTGTACATTTTGCTTTTTTTTTTTTTTTTGAGATGGAGTCTCGCTCTGTCACCCAGGCTGGAGTGCAGTGGCATGGTCTCAGCTCACTGGAACCTCCACCTCCTGAGTTCAAGTGATTCCACTGCCTCAGCCTCCTGAGTAGATGGGATTACAGGGGCACACCACCATGCCCAGCTAATTTTTGTATTGTTACTAGAGACAGGGTTTCACCATATTGACCAGGCTGGTCTTGAATTCCTGACCTCATGATCTACTGCCTCGGCTTCCCACAGTACTGGGATTACAGGCATGAGCCACCCTGCCCGCTTCACAGCTGGTTGGAGCTGTCTCTAATACACTACACCCCTCCTAAAGCCCATTCTCGAACTACAGTTTAAATGCTCTTAGGCCAGCTGTAGTGGCTCATGACTATAATTCCAGCACTTTGGGAGACTAAAGCAGGAGGATCGCTTGAGCCCAGGAGTTCAAGACCACCCTTGGGCAACATAGTAAAATCCTGCCTCTGCAAAAACTAGAAAAATTAGCCTGGTGTGGTGGTGCATGCCTGTAGTCCTAGCTACTCGAGAGGCTGGGGCAGAAGGATTGCTTGACCCCAGGAGGTCAGGGCTGCAGTGAGCTGTGATCATGCCACTCCAGTCTGGGTGACAGACCAAGACCTCATCTCATCTCTTAAAAAAGACAAAAACAGAAAAACACCTGTCAGAAACTTGTTTAGTTCCTAGAATGAATTGACTTCCTCTATTCCATATTCAGATTTTATTGTGAAATTGCTTTGTTATACTGGTGTGTTGTTTGTTTTTGAGACAGATTGTCACTCTGTCACCCTGCATGAAGCGCAGTGGTATGATCTCGGCTCACTGCATCCTTCACCTCCAGGGTTCAAATGATCCTCCCCTTCAGACTCCCAAGTAGCTGGGACTACAGGTGTGCTCTACCACACCTGGCTAATTTTTCTGTATGTTTGGTAGAGACGGTGTTTTGCTGTCTTGGCCAGGCTACTTTCGACCTCCTGAGCTGAAGAGATTTTCTTACCTTGGCCTCCCAAAGTGTGAGGATTACAGGCATGAGCCACCATATCTGGCTGTTATACTCGCTTATACCTTTGTTACCTATGTCTTAACTAAGGTTTGCATTCTGCATCATACAGTATTGTGTTTTATTAATATGGTATTTAATAAATGTGTTGAATTGAATGCATATTCTTCCAAAGTTAGGATTTAAAGCCCAGGAAAGTATCTCCATTTTATCCAAGAACAAAAGTAGTTATTAGGCTGATGATTTGGCATTTTATTGCTTTAAAACTCTTTTTTTTTTTTTTAAGATGGAGTTTTGCTCTTGTTACCCAGGCTGGAGTGCAATGGCGCGATCTCGGCTCACCACAACCTCCGCCTCCTGGGTTCAGGCAATTCTCCTGCCTCAGCCTCCTGAGTAGCTGGGATTACAGGCACGCGCCACCATGCCCAGCTAATTTTTTGTATCTTTAGTAGAGACGGGGTTTCACCATGTTGACCAGGATGGTCTTGATCTCTTGACCTTGTGATCCACCCGCCTCAGCCTCCCAAAGTGCTGGGATTATAGGCTTGAGCCACTGCGCCCGGCCTGCTTTAAAACTCTTTATGAAATTGTACAATAGCTAAATATACAATTATAGTATTTGTATTAGTATTTTGAGTTTTCTGAAGTATATATCCCTGGTGTATTCATTCCTTCGTTTGTTTAAACTTTGGCACATTACTAGAAAAATTGTATTATTGAGATGGGAACTTATAAATTACTTATTTGCATTCTAAGTTTGATTTAGATATCAGTAGAATTAACTTCAGAACTCCTATTCCATGTTCTCAACTTAGTCACATCTAGTGCTTTTTTTTTTTGTCACCCAGGATAGAGGGCAATAGCGCAATCTCGGCTCACTGCAACCTCAACTTCCCAGGTTTAAGCGATTCTCCTACCTCAGTCTCCCAAGTAGCTAGGAATACAGGCACCTGCCACCATGCCCAGCTAATTTGTATATTTTTTAGTAACGATGGGGTTTCAACATGTTGACCAGGCTGGTCTCGAACTCCTGACCTCAGATGATCCTCCCACCTCAGCCTCCCAGAGTGCTGGGATTACAGGTGTGAGCCACCATGCCTGGCCTTAAGTTTTTTTTTTATTACATGTTTTTTACAGCATCTCTTTATACTAGTCCAAAATTCCTGAATAATGTAATCTATTATGTATAACTTAAGAAAATCAGTGTAATGCCTCACCCATAGTATAAAGAGAAAATTTATATATGACAATGCATAATTTCAAAATGTTAATGGCCCAGGGATGAATTCGCTATTAAGATGAATATATTTCCAAGGGGGTAGTAAAGGGTATTTGGTGATTATTGTCTGTATATCCCAAATCTAAAACTTTGACTTTTGAGCTCTGAGTCTGAATATCCAACAACAAATGACACCCGTGTGTCTGAATAACTCAGTTTGTTATCTTCCCATTCAATCTGTTTATCTGTCTGAAAGTTTCTCTTTTAGTGAATGGTACCACTCATTTATTCACCCAAGGTAGAATCTTGGAATACATCTTAACTCCTTTCTTCCTTGCATTTTATATCGGATGCCAGGTCTTGTTGGATTTTACCTATTTAATTTCTCCAGAATTTATCTTTTCAATGCCTTAATTTAGGCTTTAATAGTTTTTATTTTGTATTATTGCAGTTGTCTAATACAGGTTTTCCTGTCTCTGCCCTCTTTTTCTTTTATTTTGCCCAGAGGATTTGTCACTCTTCTGCTTAAAATTACCATATAGGGATTCATTATTGCCCTCTGGACATAATATTTTCTGTGAGCTAGAAATCAGTGTTATTTCTTGGACGAAAACCCTTTTTAATGGTGACTGGCTGCAGCAGTTGCCTTAGGGAAGATTCTGAAGTATCTGCTGGAAGAATGCAGTGATGAGGGAATGACGGCATGAGTCCTGCTTTGGCTAGACGCACAGGATCCTTTACAATCTGAACCTGCCTACATTCCAGTAATAATGAACTGGTTGTGGTTTCCTGCAACAGGAACTGTTAGTTTGCTTTTGGATACTTTTCCTTTTTTTTTTTTTTTTTTTGAGACGGAGTTTCGCTCTTGTTACTCAGGCTGGAGTGCAATGGCACAACCTCCGCCTCCTGGGTTCAGGTAATTCTCCTGCCTCAGCCTCCCAAGCAGCTGGGATTACAGGCACGCGCCACCATGCCCAGCTAATTTTTTGTATTTTTAGTAGAGACGGGGTTTCACCATGTTGACCAGGAAGGTCTCAATCTCTTGACCTCGTGATCCACCCGCCTCGGCCTCCCAAAGTGCTGGGATTACAGGCTTGAGCCACCGTGCCCGGCCGCTTTTGGATACTTTTTCACATGGCATTTTCTTGGTCTGGAATGGCCTCTCCTAGCACTATTTTCACATTATTCTACAAAATATTGCCTGATTCTTTGCTCCTCAGACCCTCCCTGTTCCTACAGAGTAATGTCTGTCTTTCTGCTAATTTATCTTATAATCTTTTGATGTCCTTAATTATTATTTTACTCTTCTACATTAAAGTTGAATTATTTTATTTACATCTGCAACATTTAGTGTGAGGGTGCCACCTGGAAAATACATGTTTAATGTTTATTGAAAGGTTAAATTGCATAAGGGTTTGTGTTAGACTGATAGCATTATCCACTAAATAGCCTTCCTCCCAGCATTATCTACTGAATAGCCTCTCTCCTCCCCACCAACCCCAGTTTCTAATTCTTTGTTTTTCTTTTTCTCAGAATCTTCAGACTCAGGTACATCTGTGAGTGAGAGCAGATGTCGCTTTGAAGGGGGGAGTGATCAAAAGGTAATCTTTAAATAAATTTTTTTCAAGTATAATATTATTTGAAAATTAGAAAGGTTATTTACAACAAATGAGTTTTAGCTTACTGGTTATGTTTAGTTTGATGTATTTTATTTTTTTCTTGAATGCTTAGGACCCTGTGCAAGACCTACAGGAAGAGAGACCTTCATCTTCACATTTGGTTTCTAGACCATCTACCTCATCTAGAAGGAGAGCAATTAGTGAGACAGGTATACATGAGTATTTATTTGACACATTCACACAGCGTTTGATGTTCTTTCTCTAATGAAATTAGTGCTTTTAGACTTAATTGTTCCCCTTTTTAGTTGAGATGAATGAACTTCTGAGTTTTTTTCTTCACTTAGCAGTATTTTTCTGGCTCACCACGACAGGCACAGTTTACTGTGTCCCACTGGAGTTTATAGTTAGCCAGTTCTGTCTTAAGATAATGGGAGGCAGGCATATAAACTCTATTTTCACCATTATTCTTAGTCACCTTAGCAGTTAAATTTTTAAATTGTTTTTAATAAATGATAATACATACCTATAAGTTTTAAACAAAAAGTAAATAGCATTTTCAAAATGAGGAGATAAAATAGCTGAAAACAGAAGAGAATGTACCTGAGGAAGTTGCAGTAAATAAAACTGTATGATTCAGATGAAAGAGAATGTCAGATCAGTGAAATAGAATAAATGAACCTAGACCAGAATCTTGTACATGTGGGCAGAAGACAGGAAGGGCAGAGGTGTCTAGGGCAGAGGTGGAACTAGAACAAATGGGTAGTTATTTGGAGAAAAGGTGAAATTACATCTGTACCTTATGCCAAAATGAATTTCAAATGAGTTTAAAAGATGAAAATAGAATACAACATATTTGAAAGACAGATAGTCACTTTAAATTTGACTATTAATATCTGAATTACATGAGTCTCTTCCCCAAATCAATAAGGAAAACATTAAAAATTCAAGCTAAAAGGGCAGGCAGTTCACAAAAATTTCTCACAGTAAATACAAATGACTAATAAATATGGGGAGAGGGTGAATTTTGGAGATTTTAGCTTTACAGATAGGAAGAATGCAAAAAGAGTGTCCTTTCTGGTCTATCAAATTAGCAAAGATAAATTTTTACTCATCCTGTGTTTTAACACTGATACACTGTTGGTCTATACATTGGTATAAGTTGGTATAAATTGATTAAATTTTTTGGATTATAAAATGGCTTAAATGGCCTGGTATGGTGGCTCACATCTGTAATCCCAGCACTTTGGAAGGCTGAGGCAGCCGGTGGATCTCTTGAGGTTAGGAGTTTGAGACCAGCCTGGCCAACGTGGTGAAACCCAGTCTCTACTAAAAACACAAAAATTAGCCGGGTGTGGTGGCCGGTGCCTGTAATCCCAGCTACTCGGGAGTCTGAGGCAGGAGAATCGCTTTAACCTGGGAGGTGGAGGTTGCAGGTAACCAAGATTGTGTCATTGTACTCCAGCCTGGGCAACAGAACAAGACTCCATCTCAAAAAACAAAAAAGTTTAGAGTTCTTAACATTATCATAGTAACTCCACTTCTAGGAATCTATCCTAAGGATGTAATACAAAATTCAAAGAGTTATATGTAGAGATATTAATTACAGCATTATCTATAATTGCTGCCTGGCCAAGATCACCTTTTTTACTGTTTTTTTTGTTTTGTTTTGTTTTGAGACGGAGTTTCGCACTTGCTACCCAGGCTGGAGTGCAATGGCATGATCTCGGCTCACCGCAACCTCCGCCTCCTGGGTTCAAGCAATTCTCCTGCCTCAGCCTCCCGAGTAGCTGGGACTACAGGCGCACAGCACCATGCCCAGCTAACTTCTGTGTTTTTAGTAGAGACGGGGTTTCACCTTGTTGACCAGGATGGTCTCGATCTCTTGACCTCGTGATCCACCCGCCTCGGCTTCCCAAAGTGCTGGGATTATAGGCGTAAGCCACCACACCTGGCCAATCACCTTTTTTAAAATTGGGAATACAAACATGATTAAGAACTCACATGCAGAACTTGTGATCTAGTTGGAGATAAAACATAAAAATCCTTATTGGGATGTAAAGTATTTGGGGAATTCAGAGGAAGAAGAGATGACTTTAATTAGATAGGCTAAGAGAGGGAAATGGAATGAGCAAAGGTGTGAGAGTTTTACCTGTTTCAGGCATATGGATAATATTTCATTTAATAGCATAACCCTATTAAATACTTACATATAAGGGTGCAGTGAAGACCTTTGCACATACATCCTTAACTTTTATGCTCTAGGATACAGAAATTGCCTGCAGAATGTTGTGTGATGTAATATTCTTACTGTATAAAAAGTCCTTTCTCAAATCTTTTTTACTACGTCATTTTAATTTTTGTCATTCTCATGGGTAAAGAAATGATAACATTTCACTTTGCATTTCCTTGATCCCTAGGAGATAGATTTTTTTTTCCCATTACTTAAGTACATGACTCAAGGTTTTTCATATGTTTATTAGTCATTTCTATTTCCTCTGTGACTTGCTTTTTCCTGTTTCTTACTTAAAAAAAAAAATCTAGTCCATCTTGATTTGGTATGACCTTGTATAATATGAATATTTTTCATTATATATGTTGCAGATATTATCTTCGAATCTGACCTATGCCTTTTAACTTTTGTTTATGGCATTTTATTTTGCCATGTAAATCTTGACATGTCTAATCTTGATAGTCTTTTTCTTGAGGGCTTTGCAGTATTATGAAATACTTTCCCACCCAGTATTTTTTGAGATGGAGTCTCACTATGTTGCCCAGGCTGGAGTATAGTGGCGTGATCTCAGCTCACAGCAACCTCTACCTCCTGGGTTCAAGCGATTCTTCTGCCTTAGCCTCCCAAGTAGCTGGGACTACAGGGGTGCACCACCACTCCTGGCTAATTTTTGTATTTTTAGTAGAGACTAGGTTTCACAATATTGGTCAGGTCTCAAACTCACCTTGTAATCCACCTGCCTTGGCGTCCCAAAGTGCTGAGATTACAGGCATGAGCCATCGTGCCCAGCAAGAATGTTTTTTTATAGGTATTTGAATGGTTTTGTTCTTTATATTTAGTTCTTTAATTCACCTGTAATTCATTTTTATGTCTAGTATAAGTTAGAACTCTCATTTATGTCCAACAGATTTGGCTAATATTCTGACCCATTCAGAGATAATTTATTATTTAAAATAAAATGGACAGTTTTTACTGGTTTTGATTTCTGTTGAAAATAGAGTACTGAAGAGCCGGGCTCAGTGGCTCACGCCTATAATCGCAGCACTTTGAGAGGCTGAAATAGGGAAATCACTTGAGGCCAGGAGTTGAGACCAGGCCAGCCAACATGGAGAAACCCTATCTCTACCAAAAATGCAAAAATTATCCAGGCATGGTGGCACGTGCCTGTAATCCCAGCTACTTGGAGGCTGAGTCACAAGAATCACAACCTGCTAGGCGGAGGTTGCAGTAAGCCAAGATTATACCACTGCACCCCAGTCTGGGTGGTAGAGAGTGACTATGTCACAAAAGAAAAAAATGTGGGGTACTGAAGAAATTGAAACATTAAGAATGCCTTATAAGTAAATTAAACACTTTGGCTCTTTTGGGGAGAAAAAGATTGGCTCTTATATTTTAAAGTTCTGTTTTGACAGAAAAAAAAAATCCTAGATTGGTTAATAGAAACTTTATTAGCTGGATTAAATTATGATGTATGGAGATAAAATTCTGAAAGAAGAATAGAAAGCCTTTAAAAAATAGTGTTGTCAGCCTAGGCAACATGGTGAAACCCTGTCTCTACAAAAAATACAAAAATTAGTGAGGTGTGGTGGTACATTCCTGTGGTCCCAGCTACTTGGGAGGCTTGAGGTTGAGGTGGAAGGAGCCTACACGGCAGAAGTTGCAGTGAGTCGAGATTGTGCCATTGCACTACAGCCTGGGTGACAGAGTAAGACCCTTTATCATAAAGAGTACATAAACAGGCCGGGCGCGGTGGCTCAAGCCTGTAATCCCAGCACTTTGGGAGGCCGAGGCGGGTGGATCACGAGGTCAAGAGATCGAGACCATCCTGGTCAACATGGTGAAACCCCGTCTCTACTAAAAATACAAAAAATTAGCTGGGCATGGTGGCGTGTGCCTGTAATCCCAGCTACTCAGGAGGCTGAGGCAGGAGAATTGCCTGAACCCAGGAGGCGGAAGTTGCAGTGAGCCGAGATTGCGCCGTTGCACTCCAGCCTGGGTAACGAGCGAAACTCCGTCTGAAAAAAAAAGTACATAAACAAATAAATACATACCCATAGTGTTGTACTGTAACTCTTAGATTGAATAAAACTGTTAACTTTTGAAATTAAATTTATTGCAACTAAGTTTCTGTACAAACAGGTACTCAGAACAGCTCAATTTTCTAAATTACAGCACAGCAATTTGTTTTTTTTTCCTTACATATCCAGAAGAAAATTCAGATGAATTATCTGGCGAACGGCAAAGAAAACGCCACAAATCTGATAGTATTTCCCTTTCCTTTGATGAAAGCCTGGCTCTGTGTGTAATAAGGGAGATATGTTGTGAAAGAAGCAGTAGCAGTGAATCTACAGGGACGCCATCGAATCCGGTAATGTTCTCATTTTCAAGGACTCATACTGTTACAGTCTAGTCCTGGCAGTCCTAATAAGCATACTGGTAGAATGTACGTGTGTCTTATGAGATTGATGCAAAACACAGTACTAAATTTTACTTTAAAATAAAACTGTATTGATCTCTACCTCACAATATCTCAACCCCAGATATTGTGAGAAATGTGAAAATAGTGGAGTAACACTGGTATTGGTAAAATTAGTAGTAGTATTAGTCATTATCAGTATCACCCTGTATTAGAGAATATTTGTGGATGACTGGACCAATAGTACATTCAAATAAATTGGAGTATAGAGGAGTTTGAGAAATTTGAAGTTGTACTTTTTAAAAAAATAAAGGAACAAAACCAAAAATATAGTTCAGTTAGATAATTTAGCATTTTAAGGCAAATTTGACTGTTTAGAGTAAAACTGTCTTTAATTACAGCCATCAGCAAAAAAGTCAGCATAGTCTGAGCTTACCATTTGCCAGATAGGTCTAGACATCAGGTAAGTTCTGTTTACCAACACTGTGAAATACAGGTTTTTTATTGCATGGATGACAGGAGAGGATTGGTACTTTCTGAATTCCAAAATCTCAGTGAGCAGAATTTCTTAAGAGATGTCACTGAAAGAAGTTGAGTAAAAAATTTTTTTGTTAACAAGAATGCTTGACAAATGGAATATTTTCTTTTGTGTGTCTTTAAACAAGCTTATCCAACCCACGCCCTGTGTGGGCCATATGGCAGGATGGCTTTGAATGTGGCCCAACACAAATTCATAAACTTTCTTAAAATGTTATAAGATTTCTATTTTAACACTTTTTTTCCCTCACTCATGAACTATTGTTAGTGTTAGTGTATTTTACGTGTGGCCCAAAGCAATTCTTTTCCAAGATTGGATACCTTTTGGAAGCCAAAAGATTGGATACCTTTCTTGGTAATGTGGCAGTGTCTCGTCATTATTCTGAATATTGGTAATCATTGTGTAGGTCTCTAGAAGACGTAGGAGATGGAATCAATTGTGATAGTAATCCTAGTCTTTCACCTTGTACCTATTTTTGTTACTTCCTATATTATCTTTCTATTTTTCTCTTCCAAAGGAGTGACTGTATGAACCTACACCTGCCCTCTAGTTAGTACTGTATTTAACGGAGCTGTTACTCATGTAGACCGCTAGATGGCAGGATGAGCTCCTGCTCAGTCTGAGAGCAGGCTCTTCATTTGTAGATATTTTAAGTTTATACCAGATTCCATACAGTTGAGATGGCACTGGAGGGACAGTGGTAGTCAAAGTAGATAAGGTTCTTGCCTTCAGGGGTAGATAGATCATCAGTGATAAAAATGAAACATTTAATCAATCCAATGAAGAAAACAGGTTCTTGAGAGCAAGTATGTATGATCTGAAAATTAGATCCAATTAAAACTTGATGAGTACACAAACTACAAGTTTGGTTAAAAAGATAATTACTATATCCTGTCTGTCAATCTGTCTGTTTATTTATTGAGATTGAGTCTGTGTCACTCTATTATTTATTTATTGAGATTGAGTGTCACTTTATTGCCCTGGCGGGAATGCAGTGGTGCAGTTTGGCTCACTGCAACTTCTGCCTCCCGGGTTCAAGTGATTTTTGTGTCTCACCCTCCTGAGAAGCTGGGATTACAGGCGCCCACTGTCATGCCCTGCTAATTTTTTAATTTTTAGTAGAGACGAGGTTTCACTATGTTGGCCAGGCTGGTCTTGAACTCCTGACCTCAAGTGATCCGCCTGCCTTGGCCACCCAAAGTTTTGGGATTACAGACTTGAGCCATTGAGCCCAGCGCCCCATTTAATGTATAGTCTTTTTTTTTTTCTTTTATTTTTTTTCTTATTTTTTAATGTATAGTCTTTGTTTAAGTTATATCAGAATTCTAGCTGATTGATAGAGTCTTTGTTCTTGCTTTGTACCTGGACACTGCCTTGTGATCGATACAGCTTTGATGAGTGGAAGGTTTTCTGTTTTGAGTTGAATTAGATAAAACAACATGGACACACGTGGAGTGGTTTTAAGGAGAGGAGAGTTTAATAGGCAAGAAGGAGAAGGCAGAAGAAAGAAGCTCCCCTTTACAGAGATGAAAGAGGACACCTCGCATTCTGAGGATACCAGCCAGTTTTCTTGGGTGGCTGGAAGAGGTGGTGTCTGATTTGCATAGGGCTCAGGGGATTGGTTTAACCGGACATAATAGTTATGTAGCCCTAGAGAAAACTGGCCCTCCTACCCTGGTCATTAAGATGCAAATGCAGGGAGCAGTGCTGTTTTACATTCGTAGGGAAATGTGTGGGCTGGGAGCATGTTGTTAGGCACAGGTCCTAGCAAGGAGGGCAAGAGGCCAGGGTTATTAGGCTAGACAGGGTGCATTTTTGGAGCTGTGGAAAAATCTTCTAAGGACTCCTTTTCCTTTATTTCTTAATAAATAAAGGAACCCACATTATCAGAGTGGAGTAGAACAGTATTTCTTTTTTTCTTTTTGTTAGCCCTGTCCCGAATTCTCTTTTAAAAAATCCTATCTGTTAAAAATCTCTCGTTTTCCAGGCTAAGTCCCTGGTTGTTTTTTGTTGTTGTTGTTGTTGTTGTTCCTAGTTGTGAAAGCTTTTAGTAGGGCCAGTTTTTTTTTTTTTCTCCTAATTCCCCTCATTTGAGAATGTGGTAGTCATCATTGGGTGTTATTCACCAGTTTGTGAAAGTGCGTTCCTCTCCCATCTTTTCTTTCATTGGGGTTTAATAAATTGTGGGAAACTAAGACTGTTCTAGACTGTATACCACACAGTTTATGTTATGATCTTTTGTCATAGCTATGACTGGGGGTTTTAAAAAACTTGCTTCTACAACTGTCATTATTGAAATTGAAACAATTCTAGGTATTTCTGACTACAAAAATCTAAGATCTGGCCGGGCACGGTGGCTCATGCCTGTAATCCCAGCACTTTGGGATGCCGAGGCAGGCGGATCACGAGGTCAAGAGATTAAGACCATCCTGGCAAACATAGTTAAACCTCATCTCCACTAAAAAAAAATACAAAAATTAGCTGGGCGTGGTGGCACGCGCCTGTAGTCCCAGCTACTCGGGAGGCTGAGACAGGAGAATTGCTTGAACCTGGGAGGCAGAGGTCGCAGTGAGCCGAGATCGCGCCACTGCATTCCAGCCTGACGCCCGGCAACAAAGCAAGAATCTGTCTCAAAAAAAAAAAAAAAAGAAAGAAAGAAAGAAACAAAAATCTAAGATCTTTGCAGAGCAAGCCTAGCTGATGCTTTTCAATTTTTTTTTTAAAGGTAATCAGTTATTTAATTAGATTATTAGGACATTTAAAACACCAATTTGTGAGGATAAATTCCATTTGTCAGGGCAAACACAGATCGCAGATAGCCCTGGAGCTGAGGAATAGCTTTGATTTTTGGTAAAACTTGTGAGTCCACAGCTTTCTGATCAATCTTGCTCTGCTCTGTTATCTCGTATTTCTCTTTTTCTGTGTCGAAGATCTCACCTTCCTGGTGTCTGGGCTTCCGCAGCTTCTTCTTCTTAAAATAAGCATCAGTAAGATGTTTTGGGATTTTTACATTGCTGATATCAATTTTGGTTGAGGTGGCAATGACAAATTTCTGGTGCGTTCTTCGTAGAGGAACTCGATTGAGGACCAGAGGTCCAGTCACAAGTAACAAGCCACTAGCCAGCTGCTTCAGGAAAACCACCCTCTTGCCCCTGTGGCAACCAGTGAGGATGATCAGAATGGTCCCGGGGGTAATGCTGGCTCGCAGTTTTCTCACGTGCTGACTAAAGGGTTTTTTGCCGTGGCTCAACAGCTTTCAAGGCACATCTTCAGTAGGATAATACCTAGGCATTTTGCGAAGTTTAACCACCCGGGTGCCGCCGTTTTTGTCACCACCAACGGGTTTTGTAACAGTTGCAAGAACCTTCTCTTTCTTTTTCTTTTCAACCTTGGATTTAGCCGCTGAGTACTTCCTCTTGTACAAGGCTTTTCTGGAATACATGGCAGATCGGGAATACCTGCCAATTCCTCTGACAAGAACAGGATTGCGGCTGCAATGGGGCTTCCCCTTCTTGGGCTTTTTTTTAGCCTTGAGGCTAGCCTTTTTCATTTTGCTACCAGCATCAGCCTTCTTGGCTTCAGGTTTCTTCTCTTTAGTATCCGGCTTCTCAACTTTTTCACCGGCCATCTTGCAAGATGGGAAAGAGAACTAAGGCCTCAGTTTCCGGTCTATATCCAATTTTTTTTTTTTTTTTTTTCAATTTTTGAGAGTCTCTCACGCTCGTTGCCCAGGCTGGAGTGCAGCAGCATGTTCATGGCTTACTGCAACCTCAACTTCCTGGGTTCAAGCAATCCTTCCTCCTTAGCCTCGAGAGCTGGGACCTCAGGTGTGTACCACCATACCTGGCTACTTTTTAAAAATTTTATTATTATTATTTTTTTTTTCCAGAGATGAGGTCTCAGCCTGTTTTCCAGGCTGGTCTGAAATTGCTGGGCTTAAGTGATTCCCCTGTAGGCTCCCACAGTATTGGGATGACAGGCATGAGCCACTACTCCCAGCCTAATGCTTTTGAAACATACAGTATTTAATAGTTTCTGGGGCATTCTTTTGTGAACATGAGCCAAAACTTTTTAAAACCACTCCCAATTGCATTTTTTTACGAGTTGGCAAACTTTCTGCAAAGAGCCAGGCAGTTAATTATTTGGGCTCTGCAGGGCCATGTTTTCTGTCACAGCTACTCAGCCCCACTCTTGCAATGCAGGAGCATCCACAGACAACAAGTAAACACATGGGCATGGCTGTGCTCAAACTTTATTTATACAAATAGTGGGTGATGGGCCACAGGTGCAGACCCCTAGCACGGAGTATGTTTTCTGAGACTTAATGTTTCTTGTGATTTACTCCCTTATTCTAAAATTAGTGCACTAACGACTTGAGTTGAAGTATTTGGTTTGTTGGGTTACTTTGTTAGGGATGTTAATTGTATCCTAACTTGACTTGTGATTCTAACATGATTGTCAGCAGAGCCCTTGTTAGGAATTAGAGCTGAAGCTTGATGAATGTTTTTACTACTCTTTCCTAACATGACTCTACAGAAGTCTTTTGACATCAGAGGCCATAAATAATATGCTTTGTTTCTGTTTTTAGAACTAAGGTAGATATGGAAGTCATTTAATCTAAGGTCCTTTTCTAGATGAAGTAGCTATAGCCTTTAGAAGTTAAATGATCTGGGCTGGGCACAGTGGCTCATGACTAATCCCAGCACTTTGGGAGGCTGCGGTGGCTATCACTGTGGAGTTCAGAAGTTCAAGACTAGCCCAGCCAACATGGTGAAACCCCATCTCCACTAAAAATATAAAAATTAGCCTGGTGTGGTGGTGGATACCTATAATCTCAGCTACTTGGGAGGCATTGCTTGAACTCTGGAGGTGGAGGTTGCAATGAGCCTGCATTGCTCTATTACATTCCAGCTTGGGCAACAGAGTAAGACTATCTTAAAAAAAAAAAAAAAAAAAAAAGTTAATTGATGTGCCTGTGTTAAATTAGCTACATAGTGGCAAGTGTAGAATAAGTCATGTCCTGACTGCCAGACTTTTTCTAGTTGTAGCCTAATGGACGCTCCTACCTTTAGACACTGACAGCAAATATGGGCCTGAAGGTCTTATTAGATTCTTACGCTATTTGTCCAAGTCCTGAAATGAGGCATCAGATGAGCAGCTACAGATATTTTTAAAATTTTTTAAAGGCTCTTTAAAGGAAATTTCAAAGTTTTAGAAAAACATAAGTATCCATGACTTCAGATGTTTTTCTAAGAAAAAAAACCATTAAGTACCTTGTGTTGTGTCTTATTACTTACATTCTACACATGTGGACATATAAAGATGAGTAAGACAGGTCTTTGCTCAAAAGTATATATAATTCATATGAGAAACATGCCTACAAAATTATGTTTTGCATAATTTATGTGTGAGGCTATGTAATTCAGTATTCTACAAGTAGTAAGGTTAATTAAAGGTGAAAGAGGGCCGGGTGAGGTGGTTCATGCCTGTAATCCCAGCACTTTGGGAGGCCGAGGTGGGCAGATCAGGAGGTCAAGAGATTGAGACCATACTGGTCAACATAGCGAAACCCTTTCTCTACTAAAAATACAAAAACTAGCTGGGCGTCGTGGTACGCACCTACGGTCCCAGCTACTCAGGAGGCTGAAGCAGGAGAATTGCTTGAACCTGGAGGCAGAGGTCGCAGTGAGCCGAGATCGCGCCATTGCACTCCAGCCTGGGTAACAAGAGCAAAACTCCGTCTCAAAAAAAAAAAAAAGAGGTGGAAGAGCCTTTTCAGTTATGATATTGACAAAAAGGCTTAGTCAAGAAAAGATGAATAGGATTTTGAAAGTGAAATTACTCTAGTGAGGGGGAAGGTGTGGAAGTTGAAATGCCAAGATTAGTTCAAGAAGCATCTAGATCTGGTGGGATTGTTCGTATTTAGTAAGGGAGGAGAGATATGTAGTTGAAGACAGATGAAGATGTTAATATAATCACACTGTCTGTACCTTCAGTGCCAAGAGGCTTTGGGTTTTTTTCCCTTTATGCAGTGGAGTTTTGCACAGGGAAATAATGTAGAAATAACCTTGAAACCTTAATCTAGTGTCAGTGTGCAGGATGGATCTGAGGAGGAAATAGAGGCATAGGGATGAGTTAGGAAACTGTTACACAGGCCAAGAGGTGATGTTTATTAAGTTATATATTTTTTCTTATTTTAGGATCTGGATGCTGGTGTAAGTGAACATTCAAGTGATTGGTTGGATCAGGATTCAGTTTCAGATCAGTTTAGTGTAGAATTTGAAGTTGAATCTCTCGACTCAGAAGATTATAGCCTTAGTGAAGAAGGACAAGAACTCTCAGATGAAGATGATGAGGTAGTATTTCTTCCCCTCTCTAATTATGTTGGAAAATTATTAAATATTTTCCATGTTCATTGAATTTGAGAATGAAATCATAATATATTCAGATTTCACTTGAAATCCTAGCCTCTTGATTTGTTCAGACTAACGTATTAGTTTGTAGACTTGAGGATTTCATAGTTGTTCATAATTTGATTTATATTCTTATGTTACTACTAATGCCGAGAAGTCAATAGGCCTCAACGATAATGGTCTGTTCACTTTTAAAAATATTTAATTCAATTACTGTTTTAATATTAACTTGCTTTTTGTAAAAGTAAAACATGCATACAGTTAAAGTCAAATAGTACCCTCAGAGATCTGTTTCCCAGAAGTGGCTGCCTTCTGCATTTCTAGCCATTTTCCTGTTATTTAATATCTCCATATTATTTATTTATGAAATAAAACCACTGAGCTGAATGTTTCGTTTTATTCATCCTAAACATCCTTTGTATTGACTTTTCCCATTGTGGGTGAGGATTTCTCTCTCTGTTTTTTCCCCCTTTGCAGTCACTCACTCTATTTGATGTCATCTTAGACTTTCTCATATATTGTAGTACATGATATTTGTTTAGGACTTCTTACTAGGAAGTCTTCCGGTAGAAGGAAAAAGCGTAACGAATTGATGCTAACGAATTTGTTTTATTAGGTATATCGAGTTACTGTGTATCAGGCAGGGGAGAGTGATACAGATTCATTTGAAGAAGATCCTGAAATTTCCTTAGCTGTAAGTATATATCTACTTTTTTAAGAAATCAAAAAATTGCATTAAGGTCTATATGAGGAAAATATGTCTGTCCTATTTTCTGAAATGAGCTGATTTTTATAAAGTTAAAATGTAAAGTCTGAATAAAGCATTTTGCTTTTATTTGTTGTGGTGAAACTTGTAGCTATAATTCTTATTTTTAGGTGCTGGAATTTGAGCTTTATTTTTTATTGTTTTTGTTTTGTTTTGTTTTTTGTTTTTTTTTTGAAACAGAGTCTTACTTTGTCTCCCAGGCTGGAGTATAGTGGTGCAATCTCGGTGTACTGCAGCCTCCACCTCTCAGGTTCAAGCGATTCTTGTGCCTCATCCTCCAGAGTGGCTGGGATTATAGGTGTGCACTGTCACGCCCCACTAATTTTTGTATTTTTAGTAGTGACCAAGTTTCACCATGTTGCCCAGGATGGTCTTGAACTCGTGGGCTCCAGTGATCCACCTGCCTTAGTCTCCCAAAGTGCCAGAATTACAGGCATGAGCTACCACACCCAGCCAAATGTAAACATTTTTATTACTGATTTTTATTATAGAATGTGGTAGGTTTTGCCATTTTTGTTCTAAATATTGCCTTTATTATAATTGAATAGGAAATATATTTTTTGAGTTATAAAGTTACTAATTATCCAAATGCAAAGATGAAAATATGTTTCCAAAATTTTTGTTGTATTAGAAAATAATTTAAATAACTAGTTGAATCATTTGGTGTCAAGTAGCATAAAATATTTTAGACTTTTTATTTTTTTAAGTCTTTTTATTTATTTATCTTAATCTATTTTAAGACCCACTAAAATTATTTTAGATACTGATCTTGCAATATATTAGACTTTTTGATGTCCTTTTACTCCCATATTGCAAGACCTTTTTCTTTGGTTTTATGAGCTGTGAAAACCCCCTTCTATAATTTGAAAAAAATCAATGTTGAAGAATAAATAGTCTCTATCTTTATTGCTCCTCTCTTATGTCATTTGTGAGGCATGACTTAAGAGGTTTTCACTTGGAAAATGTCCTCAGGCAAGAACCATGCTTCAGTTATGGGAAGAAAATAGGTTATGTAAAAAAGCTGGGGATATGGGAGAGCTTGTTATCCAAATTGCGTGGTGGAAAGGTTTGTGTGATAAAACTTAGAGAAAAGAAAGAAGCATTGAGCAGTTACAGAGATGAGAGAACACAGGAAAGGATAGACAAGTAAAGGGCGGCATACGTTATGGTTAGTGGCCAAGGTTGATAGGTTTTAGCGGCAATACTCGCTGTAAAAATGTTTTAGCGTTTCTCTTATGGATGGAGTTAGGGAATACTCAGTTGAGCCATGGTTTTAGAGCACTTCTAAGGTAGTTCTAGTCACTGATGGATTAGGAAGTCTTTCTCTACGAGGCAGGTTTCATCCAGATTTATTGGATGGACTAGCATCTAGGGTTGAGCCTTTAAGGGAGTTGAGGTTAGGCTGCATTACAGAGTCAAAGATCCCATATAATTGCTTCAACTAAAGGAAACAACTGTAATTGTATCCTGAAACAGATAACTTTATAGGTACATGATTAATATCACTCTGAATGCATTTTTAGTTTAGAATTTTTCAGGTTGGTATGGGTAAAAAAAAATGGGTGTGTGTACTCTCTAGGAGACTGTTACACATTGACTGTTAAAAATCTGTTTTGTATATAATTGAGACATATAACATGACGTTTTGACACATGTTAATAGTGAAATGATCACTATAGTCAAGCAAATTAATATAATTCATTATCTTGAATAGTTACCTTTCTTGTGTGTATGGTAAAAATACCAAAAATCTACTCTTTTAGTAAATATCCAGTATACCAATATATTACTAACTATAGTCTTCATGCTGTACATGGTGAGTATGTTATATGAAACACTGAATATTGAACTGTGTGGTATATTTTACCTTAGACATAGCAAAGTTGCTAGCATTCTTGTGACTAGTAGTTGAAAGGTTACGGAAACTGACTGTGTGTCTTATTTCATTGAAGGACTATTGGAAATGCACTTCATGCCATGAAATGAATCCCCCGCTTCCATCACATTGTAACAGATGTTGGGCCCTTCGTGAGAACTGGCTTCCTGAAGATAAAGGGAAAGATAAAGGGGAGATCTCTGAGAAAGCCAAACTGGAAAACTCAACACAAGCTGAAGAGGGCTTTGATGTTCCTGATTGCAAAAAAATTACAGTGAATGATTCCAAAGAGCCGTGTGTTGAGGAAAATGATGATAAAATTACACAAGCCTCACAATCCCAAGAAAGTGAGGACTATTCTCAGCCGTCAACTTCTAGTAGCGTTATTTATAGCAGCCAAGAAGATGCGAAAGAGTCTGAAAGGGAAGAAACACAGGACAAAGAAGAAAGTATGGAATCTAGTTTGCCCCTTAATGCCATTGAACCTTGTGTGATTTGTCAAGGTCGACCTAAAAATGGTTGCATTGTCCATGGCAAAACGGGACATCTTATGGCCTGCTTTACATGTGCAAAGAAGCTAAAGAAAAGGAATAAGCCCTGCCCAGTATGTAGACAACCAATTCAAATGATTGTGCTAACTTATTTCCCCTAGTTGTCCTGTGTATAAGAGAGTTATATTTCTAACTAATTAACCCTAAGGATTTAGACAGCATGAAATTTATTTACATATATCCAAGTGAGAAAATGCCGCAATCCATGTGGATTTCTTCTCTTTAGTGTAATTGACCTACTTTGGTAGTGAAATAGTAAATACTTACTTTGAAGAAAATTTCACTTCTGTGTCTATTTTATATTTGGGGTTTTAACATAATTTGAATTGAATAGTTCATTCTTTATCATAAGCCCAAATTTTAAGTAATTTCGACTCTATCTTAAATGAGAATTATCTATTTTTTAAAATATATATATATATGGCATTTAAATGTAACTTATTTAGTACCTTTCATGTAAAGGGAAATTGATGGAAAGATTTAGTTAGTTTTTTTGGTCTTTTTTTTTTTTTTTTTTAAGACAGAGTATGACTCGGTTGCCCAGGCTGGAGTGCAGTGGCACAGTCTTGCAGTCTTCACCTTCTTGGTTCAAGCAATCTCCTGCCTCAGCCTCCAGAGCAGCGAGGATTACAGGCACGAGCCACAACACTGTCTGATTTTTTTGTATTTTTAGTAGAGACAGGATTTCACCATGTTGGCAGGGTGATCTTGAACTCCTAAACTCAAGTGATCCACCCGCCTCAGTCTCCCAAAATGCTGGGATTATAGGTGTAAGGCACCATACCTGGCCTCAAATTTTAGGTGTTATTAAACCTTCTGATCTTTAGTTTCTGTCTCCAAAATACTCTTTCGGTTAAAAAAAAAATGGCTCTTATATTTGGTGCTATGTAAATAAAAATGTACTACTCTTTTTTCTTTCTTTAAGAGTTCTTGTTTTTACAATAGAGACAGGGTCTCCTTATGTTGTCCAGGCTGGTCTTGAACTCCTGGACTCAAGAGATCCTCCTGTCTTGGCCTCCGTAAGTGCTAGGTAGGATTACAGGTGTGAGCCACCCCACCTGGCTGTAAAAATGTACTTCTTATTCTCCAGCCTCCTGTATAAACTCTAGTAAGGGATGGGGGTAATGATGCTACCAGTGAAAACAGCTACCATTTACCCATAAGACAAAACTTTTTAAAGCCTCCTGAGTAAAATGTGGAATTGTCTTGGGAATCTAACCTAGTATATCAAGCCCTTCTTCACACAAAAAAATCTTTTCGGGATTTAGTGGAACCTGTTGCTTCCCCTAAGTTGGAAAACAACTGTAGGACACTCCAAGTCTTCCTGGGCTGGGTTACTTGGGGCCCAGCCTAGGCTTCAGACTTTTGCTTAAGGCCAGTTTCGGAAACCTGTGAATTCAGAAAGGTTAATTCAGAAATTTGATCAACGGAGTTGTTTAACAACTAACTGGAAAGATTGCAAGTTTTTTTTCTGAATTATCCAGAAATTATGCATCCTTTTCCTTCAAGAATGACAAGGTCAGAATGTGGAATTCCAAGATACCTCTTGACTTCCTCTCTAGCTCCATGTTTGGTCAGTGGAGGCCCACGCGAGCTCAGCATGCGTACTGAGAAGTGTTAGTGTCTTTCAGAGCCAATCTACCCTGGTCACGTCACGGTGTTCATCTGCAGCTACTGCATGGTGTTCAGATTGTGTGAATCCAAATGTCATAAAAACTTTAGAAGTGCAATTCTCGAAAGGTTAGGTGTACTAAAGCATTCAGTAAAGCAACTGAGAATAATGAGTTTACAGTGGATAATTCATTTGAATTTGAAAAATATAGAAATGAACCTGTCAAATACCAGCAAGAACTGAAGAATAAAATTACTGATGCAGCGAAGACAGATGCAAAGATCAAACAATTGCAGACTAAATTTATAATGGACAAACCGAAGAAAAATAAAGGACTACAGAAAGTTCAGGACATCAAGGAAGTCAGGCAAAACTCATCTTGACCCCTCTTGCAGGCAAAGGAAAGCAGCTGGAAGAAAAGATGGTACAACAGTTACAACAGGATGCAGTCATGGAATAGGTTTCCTAAAAATCTCATCTGTAACTACTAATATATTTACATTTGAAAATCTCTTTTGGAGACTTAAAATTTCTAAATTATTGATTATTATTTTTTTTTTTTGAGACAGTCTTGCTCTGTTGCCAGGTGCCAGTCTGGAGTGCAGTGGTGCGATTTCAGCTCACTGCCACCTCCACCTTCTGGGTTCAAACAGTTCTCCTGCCTCAGCCTCCCAAGTAGCTGGGACTACAGGTGCCGTGCCTAGCTAATTTTCTTTGTATTTTAGTAGAGACCATCTTGGCCAGGATGGTCTCGATCTCATGACCTCGTGATCTGCCTGCCTCAGCCTCCCAAATTGCTGAGATTACAGGCGTGAGCCACTGCACCCAGCCTGATTTATTTTTTCTATAAGGGCACTGAAATGAAAAGTGATTTAAAAATCACCTACGTTGCTATCTATAAAACCTCAGATAATAGGCATATTAGATTGCATCTCATTGGTAACTCTCCACTGATAGATACGTTTATGTAAATCATGAAATTCTGTTTATAAATGCAAAATTGAAATGTGGACATAAAATGGGTATGCCGTTTGGTTAGCGATACTAGGCTACATTTATGTAATAACTAATGACAAAATTCAAAAATGTATGACTAGTGATAGACATAAAATTTTCTTAGCAGTAAAAATGCCCTTTATTATAGAAGGGAGGATATAAGGAATCAACAGTTTGTATGAAAATAGCTCAAATCATTTATTTTGAGTTTAATATTTCTTGTTTTGGTTTATTAGCATTTTAGAACAAAACGGCCTTATATAATGAAGCCTAGTTTGCTGGACGGTTTTGACCTGGTTTAACTGTTCTGACATAGTTGGGAAGGAGAGCTGACTAACCTTTGCCTGAAATGACGCTATATAATTTTTGCTTTGGCAAATACTCAGTTCTAACTTGTGATTCCTGGTAGAACAAGCTTTATATTTCAAGTCTAGGAATGATCTAGAAGGAGATGTATCTCAGTGCCTTTTAAAATTTGTTGTGTGGTTTTCTTTTTAAAAGCCACACAGTAATTTTGGAAAACAATGTATGGGTAGAACATCTGTCCAGTATTTTACGTGAAATCACTTTTTTTAATTTTTTGAGACACAGTCTTGCTCTGTTGCCAGGCGCCAGGCTAGAGTGTAGTGGCATGATCTCAGCTCACTGCAACCTCTGCCTCCCGGGTTCAAGCAATTCTCCTGCCTCAGCCTCCCAAGTAGCTGGGACTACAGACGTGTGCCACCACGCCCAGCTAATTTTTATATTTTAGTAGAGATGGGGTTTCACTGTGTTGGCCAGGATGGTCTCGATCTCTTGACCTTGTGATCTGCCCGTCTCGGCCTTCCAAAGTGCTGGGATTACAGGCGTGAGCCACCACACCCCGCCTACAAAACCACTTTTAATGGGTACAGAAATTAGGAGGAATAAGTTCTGATGTCCTATTGCACAGTAGGGTGACTATAGTTAATTATTGAATGTTCTTGCTACAAATAAATGATAAATGTTTGAGTTGATGGGTGTGCTAATTGCACTGATTTGATCGATACACATTGTATCTGAAACAGTACATGCGCCATAAATATTTACAATTATGTATCAGTTTAAAATTTTATGGAACATTTATAATGTAAAAATATCAAACTGTAGATTAACTTCTTGATTTATATTTAAATATGAATCTTAAGCAAAATAGTGAAAATAACTATCTGGTTTAGTGTTTTTCTCCCATATGTGATTTATAGATACTTAGAGTAAAATCAACTAAACTGTAAGCATAGAATAGGCCGCAGGGATAATTTTGCACAGCAGTTTTACTAATGGTACATTGTTACATTGTTGCTTAAAAAAAGACACACCCACACATTGACTTATGAAACCATTGGCCAAAGGGATTAGTACTTTACCTTTGGAGTTCCTCAAAGCCTTATTTGAAGTTGAACCAAGTAGAATCTTTTTTCCTGAGGAGTGTAGCATAAATGTGATTATAAACATAGTACACATAAGATACATGTATGCAATGACTGCTGTTTATACAGAATTTAAATCTGCAACAACATGTTTATGGGTTATTAAAATTATCTAAATTCTTAGATTCTGTGTAGTACACCTGTATTGATTTACAAATAAATGATTTATTAAGTGATTAAGAATTGTTTTAAGAATGCGATTATTTGATCTTAAACAATTTTTTAATGAGTTAAAATGGAAATTGACTATCATATATTTGGGTAACAAAAGGCACAAGTCTGAATATGTTTCTGGAATGGCTATGCCTGCCCCCTTTAGAAATACAAATATCATTGCGCAGCTTGAAGCAGTTAGGTGTCTCCAGTGAGAGCAACTTGACAGAATGGTGTTCCAAGTTAGTAGGAGTAAGAAAGGATTTGTTCACCCCCTGTCTTCGCTTAGGTCACATGGCAAGCTGGCCTAAGTGATCGTGAATGGTCTATATAGCTGGGACAGGGAGGGGAGTTTGGGCTAGCCACTGTGCCACTTGTCAGCATGAAAAGCCAGATTGTAGTTGCGTTTACCTGTCTGCCTCGTCTTTGAAAGTTCTACCAAACTGGGAACCTCTGATTGTGATACACAAATGTTAAGTGCTCAGTAAGAATTTACTAAATGAAAGCATTGAGACCTGAGTCTTGAAAGCTGGCTTTGGCTGGGCGCGGTGGCTCATAATTCTAGCACTTTGGGTGGCCGAGGCAGTCGAAATCACCTGACGCCGGGAGTTTGAGACCAGCCTGACCAACATGGTAGAACCGCCTCTCTACTTAAAATACAAAAATTAGCTGGGCATGGTGGCATGCACCTGTAATCCAGGAGGCAGGAGAATCACTTGAACCAGGAGAATTACTCGAACCAGGGAGGTGGGGGTTGTAGTGAGCCAAGATCATGCCACTGCTTGGGCGGTAGAGTGAGACTGTCTCAAAAACCACACCAAAAACAACAGCTGGCTTTGGCTGGGAGCGGTGTCTCACACCTGTTATCTCTGCACTTTGGGAGGCCGAGGCGGATGGATCACAAGGTCAGGATTCTGCCTAACACAGTGAAACCTGTCTACTAAAAACACAAAAAATTAGCCAGGTGTGGTAGCAGATGCTTGTAGTACCCACTATTCAGGAGGCTGAGGCAGGAGAATTGCTTGAACATGGGAAGTAGAGGTTGCAGTGAGCCAAGATTGCGCCTCTGCACTCCAGTCTGGATGACAGAACGAGACTCCTCCATCTCAAAAAGAAAGCTGGCTTTGAAGCAGGAGCTTCTGGGCCCCTAAGCCAGAGGCGGGTAGCTTTTACCATCATATAATTAAGATTTTTAAAATCCTTAATAAAGCTTTTATTGATTGAGATGAAGTCTTGCTTGGTGGCCCAGGCTGGAGTGCACTGGCATGATCTTTGCTCACTGCAACCTCCGCCTCCTGGGTTCAAGTGATTCTCCTGTCTCAGCCTCCCGAGTAGCTGGGATTATAGGACCCCCTTTTGTAATTTTTGTTTTTCTAGCATAGATGAGGTTTCACCTGTTTGGCCATGCTGCTCTCAAACTCCTGACCTCAAGTGATGTGCCCTCCTTGGCCTTCCAAAGTGCTGGGATTACAGGCATGAGCCACTCTGCCTGGGCTAATTAAGTGTTTTAAAAATAATTGGTGTGTAGGTCTAAGGCTTATGATGATTAACCAGAAGTTGTTAATGGGATTGTGAAAAGTTTGTAGTTGACCTTTATGGTTGGATGCTGCATTACATTTTTATTTGATATTTACAAAAAATATTTCTTCATTTTAAAAATTGTTTAAAAGTTTGTGATCATATTGTCTGCCATGTAGCCAGCTTTCAGTTATATATAATAGGGACTTTGTGACATTTACAAATAATACTTTGAGATAGATATCTGAAAGTACCAGCACATGAAAGGTGTTCAGAAGTAGCAAATTGTAAAATTAACTAACAAACAAATGAAAGGCAACAGAAAATAAAACCAGAGCCATAAAGCAAGCATATGGGAGGCGTGTTCAGTAACTTGCTCATAATGCATCTGAAATGATCGCTGTACTTAAATATTGTTAGAGTAATAGGATTTTGAATAAAAACCGTAATTGATTGTCTTTAGGTGAGGAGTGGTACTGAAACATACTTGAATTCCTATTGCTTTCCTTTAAAGCTCTGCTTTAAAGACTTAAAAAAATATATATATATATAGGATTTACCTCTCATCTGTTTGAATCCTACAATCCCACATCTCTGCTGTCTTCAGAACGCTACAACTTAGTTGTCCAGCCAACAGCTTAAAGCCAATTTATCAAAATAGCATCTTTCATAATTCCAAGATTTTACTTTTGTTTGTTTTGTTTTGAGATGGGATCTTGCTCTGTCACCCAGGCTGGAGTGCAGTGCTGCAAACATGACGCACTACAGCCTCAACCTCCTAGGCTCAAGCAGTTCTCCCACCTCAGCCTCCCAAGAGGCTGGGGACCACAGGTGCAAGCCTCCATGCTCAGCTATCTTTTTTTTTTTTTTTTTCTCCTGTGACAGAGCCCTGCTCTGTCATCCAGGCTGGAGTGCAGTGGTGCAATCTCTCAGCTCACTGCAACCTCCACCTCCCATGTTCAAGCGATTCTTCTGCCTCAGCCTCCTGAGTAGCTGAAATTACAGGAGCCTGCCACCACACCTGGCTAACTTCTTTTTTTAGTAAAGACAGGGTTTCACCATGTTGGCCAGGCTGGTCTCAAACTCCTGACCTTATGATCCACCTGCCGTGGCTTCCCAAAGTGCTGGGATTACAGGCATGAGCCAGTGTGCCCGGCCTAATTTTTGAATTTTTTGTAGAGACAGTTTCATCATGTTGCCCAGGCTGGTCTCAAACTCTGGGGTCAAGTGGTCGCCCGTCTTGGCTTCCCAAAGTGCTGAGATTACAGGCGTGAGCCACCATGCTGGGTCCAAAATTTTACCTTTTAAATTTATTCCATTAGCATGATGTTCTAGGTGAATTTCATTTATTTTTCAGGGTTAAATTTTAGTGTGTCTACTTTTGGTTCACACCTTCTCAGCCCACCGTCCTGTATTAAGTAGGCCTTCTTGGTCGGGCGCGGTGGCTCAAGCCTGTAATCCCAGCACTTTGGGAGGCTGAGGCAGGTGGATCACAAGGTCAAGAGATTGAGACCATCCTGGTCAATATGGTGAAACCCCGTCTCTATTAAAAATACAAAAAATTAGCTGGGCGTGGTGGTGCGTGCCTGTAATCCCAGCTACTCAGGAGGCTGAGGCAAGAGAATTGCCTGAACCCAGGAGGCGGAGGTTGCGGTGAGCCAAGATGGCGCCATTGTACTCCAGCCTGGGTAACGAGCGAAACTCCGTCTCAAAAAAAAAAAAAAAAAGGTCCTCTTTCCAGATCACAGTAATGTCTCCCTAAATGGATTTTACTACGTTGGGTTTCCCCATTTTTGGTTCAGTTATAGTTTACAGATACCATCACGTTGCTTCCCTAATTTAAATATGGTGGGGGGGACTTGCTTTTTGGGTTTTATCTCTGATGTTCTACTGGATTATTTTAGACTTTTAGAACACTATGAAATGTGTGTTTGCTTTTCAATTCTCAAACCATTTTGCTCCAACAAAGTTCATAAGCTTATTATAGGAAGTTCAAAGTCACAGATCTGGTATTTACTTGCCTAGTAGCCCTAGAGACATTAAATATACAGAGCCTACGATGGTGTCTGGCAAGTAGCAAGCACTTGCAATGAATGGCAGTTTGATATTCTGTTGCATCCATTCTTGACCATAATCACCCCAAATCCATCTTAGGTAGCCCTGATTTAACCCCTACCCCCACCCCCTATTTTATTTTATTTTATATTATTATTTTTTTTTTTTTTGCTGAGACCAGGTCTCATTCTGTCCCCCAGGCTGTAGTACAGGGGCACAAACATGGCTCACTGCAGCCCGATTAGCTGGGAACACAGGCCTGTTATCACCATAACTGGCTAATACATGTGTATGTGTATTGATTGTATTGTATGTATGTACTTATGTATGTATTTTTAGAGACAGGGTCTTGCTATGTTGCCCAGGCTGGCCTTGAACTCCTGGGCTCAAGCTGTCCTCTTGCCTTGGTCTCCCAAAATGCTGGGATTACAGGTGTGAGCCACTGCATCTGGTGATTTAAGCCTTTTTTATACACTCACAACTCAGGTATTGTGGATGCCGGCACGTCTGCCGGGGGGCTCTTGGCCAGCAAGAGGGTCCCAACCTGGGAAGGGGGGTGCGCAGAAGAGAAGAAGAAAGAACAGACGGGGTCTGAAGGGTTGAGAAGTCAGATGCTTCACCAACAACTTTATTGAACTCAGGGTCTGGTTATATACATTACAAGTAGAAGTGTTTACATCATGGGATCAGTGTTTCGTGAGATAAAGGGGAACAGAAAGTTTGACAATACAATCACAAGTCACCATATTTTGGACAAATATGCTGGGAACAGGGAGATACATAATAAGGTTAAAGCGGGGGGTGCAGTTATCAGTCACAAGAATCCATGTGCAATATCTAAGTTTAGAAGGTTAAAAGAAACTATTTATCTAGGGCAGGAGTTTCACAAGAAAATCACAGGCTACATTATAAATCATTAAGTCACAAGCAGTATTGTAAATACCACATCAAGGGTCCAGGTTCAGGAAAGACATAAACAAAGCCATTTTTACTATCAGCTTGCTTTGAAGATTTAAGTCATAACTTTAAGAAGAAACTGTAATGAATAGAGAACCAAAAGTGGACACCGTGAGAACCAGAAGTGGACACCGTGCCTCCCATCACCTCAGCACAATAGAGTAATAACTCATGTTATTTTTTGTATATCACATAAGCTTTCTTGCAGTCCTTCCCCATAGCTTGACTACCCCCAACAGGAGGGCCATGTCCGGGATCAAGCTCAACCATATGGTGTGACCCACTACTTGGGGGTCTCATATGGGAGCGTTCCCACAGTTCCCCCTTTCTTTGTTTTTAAATGCAACTCAAAAAGTTTGAGGCACATTTGTTGGAGGGAGGAGAACACGAGGCGAAAGAGCACTGGAAGAAAGATTATGAGAAGGAGTACAATGACTCCAATGCCAATCAAGGAGGAGAGGGATGGAAGGTGAAGTCCATGTGACCAGGAAAGTATAGCA